ACACACACACACACACACACACACACACACACACACACACACACACACACACACACACACACACACGACACACAAACCTAAAGAGTTCTGAACTGCTCCCCAGTTCAGCCAGATGTGGCAGTGGAGGGAAACATCTGCACAACTCCTTGGCATTAAAAGGTTTTCCCTTCGGTTCTTCAAACAGCTGGTCTCGTGCTGAACAAAGCGTGTGCAGGAAGAGCAGATTTTAGTGGCAGCAGTTGTTTATCAGAGAACAGGATGTTCACTCAGTCAGGTTCAGTGCAGACCACAAGGCTCAGAGAACTCAGGACAGCTAGTTATCATCATCATTTGTTGTGTCCATGCTGAAAAATATCAGTCACTTAGTGCTTTCTTCATTGGGTCTCAGTGTTTGTCATTTGTAAGGTCAAAACTATATTTTAAGACTTGACCACAATCTAAGAAGTCCTGAAACAAACAGAGGAAACAGCAGGAACATCCTCAGAGCAACAAGCTGTTAGAGAACCTTTGTCTGCGAGTTTTGGATCCTCAGAACAGGAAGCAAAAACATGAAGTTATTCATGTTTGCTGTGGCACTAGCTAGTTGCTTCGTAGGTTAGTGTCATTCTGAGAAAATAAATCCTAAAGTCTGAGTTCAGAAAAAATAAACATTTAAATCTTGTTTCACCTCACATTCAGTATCAAACTGGGGGATCGCTGCAATCTTAAAGTAGGAGTTTCTGGTTTTGTGGAAGAAGTTGGCCCAAGACATGATTGATCTGATTTTTGTTGCAGTACTTTGTTAAAGACGTGATGGGTTGGCTTAACTATTTTGGGTGGGGTTTTAAAAAGCTGGGGGCAGCTGGGAGTAGCTTGGTCGAAACAGCCAGGAAGCACCTAAATATAAATAATAATCTCAGTCATAACTCAGGACAGGAAGGTGCTAGCTGCACAAAATTTGAAGTCAATAAATGTTTACATGTTCACGATAATTTTACTAATAACATTACATCCTCTTTTAAACTGCCCCACAGCACAAGTCAATTCGACTAAGCTCCGCCCACACCCAATTTCCACCTATTATACAAGCTCCACCCACATAAGAAACTCCTCCCATGAACTGCAGAGACCCCTGCTTGGCAAATCCTCTGTGAAAACAACAACCTGTAGCTGAGGGGAAACCCATTCAGGCCATCTCATGCAAATTTGATAATAGATTCTTAAAATCCTGCTTTTAGCATCAATGTTTCAGTGCTTTCTACACAATAATTTTTTTTTATTCATGGGAGAGCTTAAGGCTGATTTTTAAAAACATCTAGAGAAAAAAAGTCAACCAGCTTCTCAGAAAGAATCTGAGCTACAAAATGTTTAATGTTTTCGTCTCATCTTTCAGAAGTGATTACGTCTCAGATACTGGAGTTTTGGCTCCCCGTCCTGCTCTGTTTATCTGCTGACGCCTTGCAGTCTGCACTGAAGGTCAACATGAAACACAAATTTAAGGCCTGTAGGTGCACTTGTGGAAAAACCACTTCTCCTTTCGAGCTGTCCTGAAGGTGCATTTTGTCCACGTCCCAAGTTTTCACACGTCCACAGAAAGTCCTCGCTGCGCTTCCTCGTCCAGGAGGCAGAAAACCGAGTCTCTGCTTCACAAGTTTCTCTCAGACGTCCTAACCTCTGATAATTTACTGAGTGATGCGTCGGAGTTCGTCGATGAACTTCACATTTTCAAGCTGTGATTCAGATATAAAAAGGAAAAAAAAAGTGGTTGAGTTCAGAGTTGAAAGAGAAACTTGTGAAACAGAGTTAGTGAAGATGCTACAGATGCTGCGTCTTCAAGAGGCGTCACCACAAGACATCAGGCACCAACAACCTGCAACACATGGAGACGTTCACGTTATAGTAAAGTAACATAAAACTTCAAGTACAGGTGGTTGAATCCAGCTAAAAATAAAGTTTTTTTCATGTATAATACGATCTCGAGTATAATACAATCATCATTTATTGGGCTTAAAAAGCATTAAAATTCAAATTATCAATATCCCTTGAATAATACTACCCCCCACCCCCCACCCACCCACACACACACACTTTATGGATATATTGTTATTTCATTTTTATTTTATTGTATATAGATTGTTTGATTTTCTGAATGAAATAAATTAAATTAAAATACATGAACAATGTTATCTTTCCCAAAACCATGTTTCCTCACTAATTTTATTTTATTATCTACTGAATGATAAAAGTCATTTTGGTAGCAAAATAATCTAAACAGTGACATTATACTTGACATGGTCATGATTTAAAGTCAAAGTCTGGATATAATGTTTTGAGGCTCTATGCAAAGGTTACAAATAATTAATATTTTACTTTTAATAAAGTAAAAAAAAAAAGTTTATTTTGACAGAACTGCTGGTCCGAGCCAAGACCAAAGTGGCCTGTTGATGTCATAAAAGAGACATGCTTTAAAATATACTATATATATATATATTACATTTAAACCATTCAGTTGTGGTCTATATAAAGTTGAAATTCAACATTTTGTTCTTAATTCCTCCTTATTGTAATTCCACAAGCCCCTCTCTGAGAAAACTGAACAGGTTGAAAAATATTGCCGAAACATTAAGTTAAGTTAGGTTAAGTTAAGTTTTATTTATTTATAAAGCACTCATTCGTACTTACTAAAAGCAGCTCAAAGTGCTGTACAAAACAATATGCAATAAACCCTCATTATAAAAACAAACAAAACTTTTCCCTCCTCCAACAAGAAAAAAAAATAAAAAATTAAAAATCCAGATCCAGTTCAGGAAATGCTGTTAAAAAGATGGGTCTTAAGCCTGCTCTAAAAAACAGCAACATTCTCTGCAGCCTTCAGGTTCTACAACAAATCAGTCCAGAGCTGAGGGCCATGATACTAAAAGGAAGTGCGTCATGTGTGTTCTGACTCTAGGAACTGTTAATAGTCCAGTGCCAGAGGACCTTAGGGTCCGCGGTGGTTCATAAAGTAGCAGCTCTGCAAGATAAGATGGTGCAAGACCATTAAGACATTTAAAAACCAATAAAATAACCTTAAAATCAATCCTAAGACGTACAGGGAGCCAGTGCAATGATTTAAAACAGGTGTAATATGAGCCTGCCTGGTCCTGGTTTGCACACGAGCAGCAGAGTTTTGAATTGCTGAAGGCTGGACAGATTTTTCTTACGGAGACCAGAAAGCAGGACATTACAACAGTCTCTAAACGACTAGAAATAAAAGCGTAAAAGTTTCAGTTTTGGCCAAAGAAAGAAGAGAGCAGACTCTGGCTATATTTTTTAGATGATAAAATCCTGTTTTGACAATCGAGCTGAACCACTGCAGAAGAGTAGAGAGGCCAACCAAGGGTTTTAATCTGTTTAAAATAATTTGATGATCAATTGTATCAAAATCTGCACTCAGGTCCAACAGCACAAGGATCTTGTGTGAATCCAGATTACATTTACAATTTTTAGTAGGGCTGTCTCCGTACTGTGGTTCATTCTAAAACCTGATAGATACTTTTCTAAAATACCAGTGTCATTTAAAAAATATTTAGCTGAATAAACACAAGCTTTTCTAAATTTTGACTTAAGAATGGTAAGTTGGATAAAGGTCTACAATTATTAAAAACACTAGGATTTACTCTACTTCAGAAGGGGCTTCACCACAGCTATTTTAACGGCTGCAGGGAAGACAACCATCCAAAGAGAACAATTTACAGTATATAAAGATATCTTTGCAGCACAGGGAGAATAAACTGAAATTTCCTCCACTCAGAGAATCCAAGTACAAAATAAAATGGATTTAACGGCTAAAAAAAGTGGATTTTGTATGATACAGTATGTCCCTTTTAAACTGAAAGTCTGGACATTTTGAGTGGATGTTCTATAGAAATGTTCCAAAGGATTAATATTTTACCCTCTGTAGCACTTTAATAGGGTCCAATTAAAAAATAAAGCTTTTATTTTGGCATAACTGCAGGTCCGAGCCAAGATCAAAGTGGATTGCTGATGTCTTAAAACAACTCTAGTCTTCATACTGTTATAATGTGATCACTGTTTTATTCATCTTTGTACCACCTTCAGTACTGCATTAAAGATATTTCCATTATTTACTTGTCAGCATCTTAGGGTAGATTCTAGCAGGACTAGCCTAACATTTCTGCCTGGATAATTGTGTGGTGCAAAACTCACGGCAATGTAAAGGTTGATAAAATATAGTCTACAAGAAGAGGTATGAAATTACTGAGGTGGAATTGTTTTAAAACTATTGAAATCCACTTTGAAAGCAGCCCTGCTTGAACTATTATTAACTTGTCAATCAACAAAAGTGTCACAGTGGTTCATAGGATCGTTTTTGTTATCATCACTTTAAGGTTTGCATTACAGAAATACTCTGACAGAAACACTGGCTAATCCTGCAGATGGTGCCCCTGGATCTATGCACATTTTTGACGACCAAATAAAATCAGCCAGAAGGTTCACTCCCAGAAAACCATTCCAACACATCTGCAATAAATGCCAACTCATTCGGTGCAATCACCACTGGATCCAGACTTGGTCTTCTAATAAAACTTTTGCCTTAAAAAAGGTTTTCCTGTTGATGATAATAATGTGAGCAGGAAATGTGCTGAGAGACTTACAGGCAGCTGACAGACTGAAGCTGTGCTGACGGTGGGGCAGATGATGGAGACGGGGTCTCCGGTGGCGGGGTGGGACGAGTTGAGTCAGGTGTTTGTGTGTGTGTGTGTGTGTGTGTGTGTGTGGTCGGTCGGGGGGTGAGGGGATGTTGGGGGATCACTTGGGGCTCGTGACGGTGGGTGTCGGAGGGTAAACCAGAGCCACGTTAACCCGCTCGGTGCCGTTTTTTGGACAGATGATCTCAGTCGGGCTGTCGGGTCGCGGCTGGCTCAGCAGCTCACCTGCAACAGAACGAACAGCATGAGTTAGAAACACACACACACACACACACACACACACACACACACACACAC